ATTCATGTGTGTCCGTTACCCATTCATGCCACACGCACTTCCTTCACATCCTCATACCCAACCACTTGCATCCCACACATCATCCATATACACTAACCATCTCCTGCCATTGAGTGCACACTTCCTCAGTTCCTCTGCGCCAGGTCCCAGCAGCTGCTCACATGGCCTGCTGTTGCCTCAGTCAAGGCCCTCTGTGCTGACTGGTCATGGGTTTTCCATGATACTTCAGTAGACCAGCCAAAAATGATAGTGGGCTCATTTTAATAAAGCCAGAGGTTTTTGTAGTCAATAATTAGGGAAGCTCAAAGACCCTGCTTTCAACGGATTGTGTTGGGTGCAATGAGTGTTAATTCTTCTGATTTTAATGGAAACCTGGCATAATTATGTCCTTTTTCCTTTGTTTGCTATGTAATTTGTTGTTCGGGGAGAATTTGACCCATGAGATTGCCTTCATATATCTCAGTTCACAGGTGCACTTCTGGAGCTTCTGCACCCAGGGATTTTCCCCTTCTGAAGAGATCAGCTGTTCCATTGGTTCTGACTGTGCTGATCCCCTGCCGGGGTGAAAAGAGAATACTTTGCTCTTTCTCTTCTAGGACAATACTGTGCAGCATTGTCAGGAATGCTTGTTTATACACAAATACTCTGGATGGGGTTTTCACTCTCAGTTCAGCTTTGCCCATATGCCCAAAAGGAAGAGACATGTTTCATTCTTGATGGATCCATGGTTTTGATTTTGGATTAATCACTATTGCAAATTATCATAATCTCCTGCAAGGTTTAGAGCTGGTAATCCATCATTTATAAATACTAATTAGAACAATATTGTTCCAAGTAATTTGCATTGACACAGCAGACTAAGTTGTTGCCAGGAATTGCAGGAATGTTCCATAGATTGCATGAAGTATGCATTGGGATAGTTCCCCCCTCCCCACTCACTGAAATGCATTGCAGATGTTCAGTGCCACCAACACTTAGAAATGATGCAAACATCCTTGGATTTAATTTTGTTTTATTAACTCCCCACAATTAGCATCTTACTCCTTTCTTCTGACCTAAGCAACATCCTGTTTACCAATTTGCAGCAGTGTTCACATGCACGAGATAACACAGGGGGGAAGCTCCCTATGCAGTGTATGATGATGCACCTACTGAAATGGGGGGGGACAACAACATGGAGTTGGGGATGGCCCGATCAGACCATCCCAACATCATGGAAGTGCGCTGGCGCGATCACACTGGGGAAAGTCGGTTTCTGGCCCGTAGCCTGTTTGCTACTGGGTTTTCCCCGGTGTCTTTTTACTCCGCTTCTGCAGCAGAGCAAAACAGGTTGCCAACGGGAGTGGAACACTTGGCAGATGTTGGCGTCTGATCGCACCCTTAAAATCTGCCTGGCATTCGTGCCTGTGGAATTGCTAATTCTGTGTGTGATCGCGCCCTGCCGTGTATAGGAAATTTTGCTTCAGTCTAATTTCATACACACACACACACACACACACGTTTTCAAGGAATCAATATTGTGAAGAAAAATTGATAGCAAACTGGTCCATAGCAAACCCGAAACCAAAACCTGTTATGGCCTGAAAAGTGTGCTTTTCTTCCCCCCCATTTTTAAAAAACTCCACCCAGATTAATAGTTCTTGAGAATTTAAGAGTTTGCACAATGTGTTGTGTCGTTTTGGTTGGCCTCCCTAAAAGGAATTACATGGATTTTAATACTGTGAAGGATCAAATGTGTTCCAAACATACATGGTTATTATTATTTGAGCTGATTTGGGAACGTAGCCACCTTTTAGAAGCAGAGTGAGGTTGTCAACTTTTTTTCCCCCTGGAAGGGCTCCTGTGCCTCTAAGACCTGGGTGATGAGCACAAATTCAATAGAGGAAGCTTTTCCAGGCTTCAGGATAAAACTGACGGGTACAGTTTTGCTCCTGGAAATTTGCTTGTCATGTAACTGTTTGAGGCACAGGAACCATTCAGGAAAAAGTCAGTAACCCTTAAGCAGAGACTGGATATCACTTCACCCTTTATATGTCAGGTATCAAAGGATGCCTCTAATAATTCCATTTGAATTAAAGTGTTTCTTTATCCCCTTTGGAAGCAAGATTCTTTAGATGCATTTTTCAAAGGAAATTGGGAGACAGGACCTCTTAGTGATCTGCTGTTGCAGTCCTTCATGTTGGCTTCGCTATGACTGGGCAGTAACCATAAGCACTTCCTTGGCTATTGGTATACCCTCCCTGCTCCCAGGCGGTTAAATAACTGAATCTTTGTAATATTGGCTTTATTTAGAAATATACAAGCACAGCAAGGGTCCCTGTCTTCAGCAAGCAGCAGATCCCCAGAGAGTTACTTATGCAGTATCTCCAAGGCTTCAGCCCAGTTTCTGCCAATGTCCATTCCAAGCTGCAAACTGCTGTTGATCACGCACACAAATACTTTGCCAGAAATGCCAAAGACCCCACAACATCCACAGCTCATTAAAGGAACTTTTGCTCCCTTTTGCTAATGATCCGTACTATTCCTTTGCAGCCAAGTTCTCCACATATGAACTCAGTTCTGCACCCCAAGATATTTTTGGGATGGTGATAGCACGCAATTGTGCACATACTGTCTTTTTTCTAGCTCCTTGTACCTTTCCCCTATCATCATCATCATCATCATCATCATCATCATCATCATCATCATTGTTACAACACCTACTGTTTGAGAACCAGTTTGGTGTAGTGGTTAAGTGAGCGGACTCTAATCTGGGAGAACCGGATTTGATTCTCCACTCCTCCACTTACACCTGCTGATGTGACCTTGGGTCAGTCACAAGCTCTGGCACAGCTGTCCTTGAAAAACAGCAGTTTGTGTCAGAGTTCTCTCAGCCCCACCCACCTCACAGGGTGTCTGTTGTGGGGAGGGGAAGGGAAACCCAGTTCTCCCAGATTAAAGTCCGCACACTTAACCACTACACCAAACTGGCTCCAAACCCCTTCTCTCTTCACTCCCCCCCCCTCTGGGGAAGGGAAGGGGATGCTTTTGAATATGCCTCCCCCCCTTTTGCTTCCCCTTCTGACATCACTGCTGGTGATGTCAGGGGGCATTGCATATGCTAATTAGTTTTGTGCTAATAGCCTAGTAGCTCATTAGCCTACCGTATGTTAATGAGCCACTGCAGCTCTTTTTCTAGGAAAAGACCCCTGGTCTTGTTCAGTCCTAGAAAATCTGGGTAACTCAGCTTGTAATAATGTATGGGATATAAATTCTAAATGGAATGAAATTTTACCTTGCTGTTGGCAAAGAGTTGTGTTAATTCTGCCTTTTATACTGTCTTTTTTACTTCCAATTTTTTAAAATGAAAGGGCCCTTTTTTAAAAAAAATAAATTCTGCCTCATCATTTATCTAAAGCTCTAATGCTCTAAAGCACTAATGTTTTGCTGAGACCAAAGAGAACATCATCTGATTTTTTTTTTTTAAAGTCATTCTGTGTTTAACCTTTTTTCCCCTTGTCCATTTAGAGAAAAAATATGGAGCAATATTGGAATGAATCAAGGCTCTGAGCAGTGGATTGTGCTTTATATGAGTTTTGGTACACAAATAGGATTAAAAGCCCAGCCCTGTGCCCTGAGAGGACACTGCCAGACAGCCTTGTTTCAAATATCTCCATCCATCTGACATCTAACACACTCTTCAGTATTGGTGGGTGTTATCTGGGTGGTCGACTTACAGATGGAAGTGATCAAAGGGTGACCTGTGGACATAAACCATCTTAAAGACAATTCAAATCTAAAGGTAAAGGTAAAGGTTCCCTTGCTCGAAAGCCAGTCGAGTCTGACTCTAGGGTTGCGGTGCTCATCTCTGTTTCAAAGCTGAAGAGCCAGTGCTGTCCGAAGACGTTTCCATGGTCATGTGGCCGGCATGACTAAACACCAAGGCGCACGGAACGCTGTTACCTTCCCACTGAAGTTATCTACTTCCCACTATTTATCTACCTGCAATTTCTTGCTTTCGAACTGCTAGGTTGGCAGGAGCTGGAACTAGAGACGGGAGCTCACTCCGTCATGCGGCACACTCGGGTCTCAAACTGCTGAACTACTGACCTTCCACAGCCTGCAGTTCAACGTCTTAACCACTTGATCTAGCTGATTATTATTCCAAATGGGACCACCGGTCTGTCAAGCTGTGCAGCCTTCATTCATTTCAGTGGTGACCCTTGTGCGTACAGACTCCAGTGAAAGAACAGTGATCACGAAGAAGCATGTGGCAGTTGGGTTTTCTTTCCTCTTGACTTTTGCATCAGTGGGTCATCCTGGCAATGTGCTATGACAGCAAAGATGTCTAGATAACATGCTGTAGTTAGCAGACGGATTTCAGGCAGTGAAAAATTACCTTTGCAGCTCTGTCGTAATAAAACGTTTTGCAGCATTATACCATTTAGGAAACTCTTTATGCTCGCTATTACGTCTGCTGTGTTACCAATATGTTCAAACAGCGCAAGTAAACCACCACCAGATGTCTCAGAAAACATGATAGTCACTGAAGATGACTTGGGAGGTCTGAAAAGGAAGGGAGCATATGATGCTGAGACTGAACATGAGCCCATGAAGCCCACTGGTGGCGGCTCAGACTCAGAAGTCTTCCCCCATCACTGTCACCTTTTAACTGGAGATGCCAGCTTTTGAATCCAAGAGCTTCGACATGCAAAGCATCTGCTCTGTCACTAAACAGTGGCCCCGTATGAAGCAAATGTCTGTTGTTGTTGGAAGCTGCCACAATAAATTGAAATAGAACTGATACAAAATGGCATTAATTAACTTTCATAGGATCTGTAATTACATAGTATAGAAGCTTTTGATAGGAGATAGAGTTAAGGATGTATGAAACAGATATTGGAGGGGGGGGGAGTCCCCTGCTCTTTTGGATGCTTAATGGCTTGTGAGAGTTGACTCAACCATTACTGAAGATTTAAGATTCCACTTGGCTAATTTCCATCTTCTCTCTCTGTTCACAGGCTGGCCATGGGCAACACTTTCTGTTTTTGGATTCCTGTATTGCTACGCTCATGTTGGGATCAAATGGCAACAGATATACTCCAGGGATTAGCAGTTATCTAAAGAGATGGGACCAAGTAACTCTGTCATATTCATATTTCCTTCCATGTGCTACATTCCAGGACTTCCAGATACAAGATACAGCTTGTTACATATGAAAGTTCATGGATTTACAAATATGCATTAGCAAACATTAATTCAAATTCTACATTCTGTGAAACGCGCAAATCTTTCAAATGTATTTTTCTCTCAGGATATTTGAAGTTGCATACCTAATACAGGTATGTGCTCAGCAAAAGAGTATAATCCAGCCAAAGTTAAGCATTTTAAATCACATGAATTAAAAATCACCGCTCCAGTGTACAAGGGCCAACACTGCACCCCTGTTCTAGGAAAGTCCCAGGACTAATTATATGGAAGTGGATCTTACAGTAATGTTTGGTTTGGGAAATTATGGAGACAGCTAAAGGCAGGGGTCATTTCGTAGAAAAAGAGGTGCAGGAGCTCATTAGTATAAATCATTAGCATAACTTATTTGCATATGCCACACCCCCTGACATCACCGGAAGTGTGTCAGAAGGCAACACCCACCGCTCAGGCTCCACTGGACTGTTTTGGATTGCTAGCTGTTGGGGGGGAATGTGCAGATCTGTCTTTGCAGAGGAGGGAGCGCTTGTACCTGAATAAAACTTGGTCTTAAAGGTGCCACTGGACTGTTTTGGGTGGGGGTCTCTGCAGCTTCCCTGGCTGCTTCTTGCTCTGACTGAGGGCTGCTGGGAGCAGGGGGTGGGGCTTGTTGCATGTGCCCGTCCTCTGGGCTCTTTACTGCCGGAGCTCCGCTCCTGTGTGCTCCTGCAGGAAATGACCCCTGGCTAAAGGTACTCCACCCCCAACTCTATCCACCTCTTCCTTCTCATTTTTTGTAATTATGGATCCTGTTTTTTTAAGTGTTTGCTCTTTTATTTTGTTGAGTATATAGAGGCATGAGTGCATGGGAGCATGGGAGTGACTGGATATAAATAACATAACAAGGAGATCCAAAGTTTTAATTGGGAGTAATTTCTATAGAAAAAAAGTTGAAAATGTGAACATCATGGAGGGGCTGGTCTCAGCCTTAGTCTTAGCCTTGGACTACAGCTTCGCGGGGCTGCGCATAGGTGGGACTCCTGCTATCTGACACTCCGTGGGCCATCCCGGCCACTAGCCAGGAGGGTAGCAGTATTGGTGACCAGCCCTGAGGGAGGGGCTGAAGTTTCTCTCCAACGACAAAGAGGGGGAGAACGAATCCTGTCATGCAGCCACCCACTATGGAGGTAGTTAGATCAGGGATCAGGGTGTGTGTAGAGGAATTGCGGATTGATCCTGTTTATTTTCTGCCCAGTTGTATTGAAGTGCTTGTGTTACGTCTGTGCCTAACTTTGTACATAGTTTAATTAAACCTTCTTTTTTGGATTATAAAACCTGGTAGTGTTTTGACCACATAGTCTTCCCCGTTCAGCACATTACTCGTGGCAAAGGGAGACCAGGGAAGGCAAACAGGCCCAAATTGGAGGTTTTGTCAACTCTCCAGGGGGCGCCCAAAGATTAAGGTATCCACTTCCTTGGGTTGGGGAATCAGCCAGAGGGGTCTCACTGTCCTTTTAGGAAGGCAGTGTAAATTCAGTGAGTGGTGGCAGCGACCATGGAAAGGAAATAGTCCCACCAGGCAGGGTGGGCACTGGGCAGGCAAAAACCTGCCCAGTGAGCCACCAAACGGCTGCTCAGTCCCCCAGCACTGAGGGCAGTTCCCCATTTCGCCACAAGGGCCAATTTGAAAGCAAGCCCATTTATTGTTTAAAGCATATATACCAACTATCCAACTGATCTTGTGCCAAGTAGCAAAGTGACATCTTGATCCAAAATAGTACACTAGTTGGGCTTCGTGTTCTGTTCTAGTAGTCCTCCAGTAATAGCTTCCTCCTTGGAGGCCTAGACGGTGGATCGAGTGGAGAGAAGATTCTTTGGCAAAGGAATGTCTGGCCTGAGTTGCCTCCTCGTGATGCCATAATGGGCTTATCTAAACTATACAACTGACATGAGTCATATTGGGGGAACCCCAGCACAACTCACAACCATATGTGCATAGGAGATTCACCTTTTCAAAGCGCTCCTCCAGTGGTGCGGCTCCAAGAGCTGTGAGGAGGGAGGAGGAGTTTCTGGCTCCCATTCACTGCTCTTTTCACTAGCAGAAGCAGCCACAGGTGTGGTCCTGTTTGTCCCTTACTCAGCTCCACATGTCCTCCATCCCACGATCCCAGGACATGTGAAGCCCGAGGAAAGGGCATTCAGGCTCCTCCGTGGGTTCCTTGCTGGTGGAAAGCGCACTGGAGAGAAGCCTGGAGGCCCTCCTCCACCCTTGCAGCACTTGGAGCAGCGCCAAGTGGCAGAGGGGGCTTTGAAAAGGTGAGTCCTGCCATGCACCTATGGCTGTGAGCAGGAGAGCCACACCATGAGTCAAGTCAGTTGTACTATCTGGATAAGCCCTCTCTGGATTTCGTACGCTTAACCCACTTTTAGAGTGGTAATGCCACTTTACAAATATTTATTGACAGCTTTCTTTGATGGGAGAACTAGAATCTCAAATACATCTTGTCAGCAAATCAGGAACTGATCCTGTGAAACAAGGAAGCCTATAGGCTATAATCAGAAAGCTGGGCAACAAATTCTGGTTAATCTTCCAGACATGAGCAGCACTGAATCCTAATTTGCATGTAAATCCCAGTTTGTTTGCTTCTTGCCTCTCTCCTGTCTCCCAAGAGGAAGAACATCCTTTGCATGCAGCCATTTCTGTGGCTAGATGGCCACAAGGTGACTTGTACCTGACAGACTTTGGTTTGTGAATTCAGATGTCACAACACAATTGGTGCAAGCCTGAGGTTTAAAAAAAAAAAAAAAACTAGCTACAAATTAAATGTAGATGATCTGTGGCTTTCTTTAATATTGCCTTGATTACATATAGTACATCAAGCACTTTGTTTCATACTGAAGCACTAAAAGCTGCTTAATGTAACTAATCCATTTAAAACCAATTGAAATAGCATCAGGTTGTCTCTTTAACCCTACTGTCATGGCTCCTTTTGTGCTGGGCCCTGGAAGGTTAAGGCAACCAAGAACAAGCTATGCCAAGCGCCAGTGGGTCTTGGCTGCTTGGCACAGATCTAGTCAACAACAATGACGACTAGTTTAGCTTCATGTGTCACCGCACTCCTTAGTGCCATTTCCATCTGGATTCAAGCCAAGCTGCTCCTAACACACAGCCCTGCAGTGGCCATTCAGCCAGCAGTGGTGACAATAGCTGTAGGTTAACCTGTTTCCTCTTTCTGAGCCACCATTTTGATCCGCTTGCTCATGGACCATTTGAACATCCCAGTCTTTCCTTCGTTTGAAATCCCAGTTGGTGCCAAACAAAATGCCATTAGTTCATTGGACTGTCTGCATTCCGTTGTCACAGCTAACCACAGTTTATGAAACAAGGTTTATCGTTGCATCTGAATGCTACATCCATAGAAACAAACATCTTCCTCGCCTAGAAATGGTTAACTGTGTAGTGCCAAGAACAGATCAGCAGCGAAGTTGTTCAAGAATGTGAAATAAGTTAAAATAATGATTCCTGGGACAACGAGGACCTTTTGGCTCACTTTTCTGTCTTGCTGGGATAAGAGGAAATGCAAATAAAGGCAGGGCTCTTAAGAGTTTTTCTCTGTGGACATACAAAAGCTTGTTATTTATTGGCCCATATGAACATGGCAAGTAGAAGGGGGTCTAGTGCCATTAGTCGCATGGGGCCCAAGATCAAAGCCCCGCTTCCTATCGATTGCAACACACTGGCTCTCCTAAAGGGAAAGTGGATTATTACAATTTGTCAGCATGAAGGAAGTGCCATTTTTATAGCAATCACATTACTACAATCACACTAATTGTGGTGTTCTTTAATTCTGCCTTGATTACATACAGTACCCAAGCTTTGCTCCTGTATCTGTTTCACATCGGAGAATTAAAAGCTGCTTAGTGTAACTAATCTTCTTAAAACAGGTCAAAGGGAATAAAAGCTTAATTTAAAAAAAAATCTGCAACTGAGTCAGTATAACAACAGTCTAATATCAGTCCCATTTTTCACCCACCATACCATCCTTTTCAACATGTATTCTTTCTATTTGTTTTGCCCTTTAGGCTTCTTGATTCTTTCATGTATTTAAATTCATTCCACAAAACTTTGTACAAGAAAGAAAAATGGCTGTGCATAGTCTCACACTCATTTTTTCTTTAGTTAAATGCCCATTTATCAAAGGTGGATAGCAAATATAGGACACACATTAGGGAGGCTTTGTCTAAGTATCTGGTAAGGGCCATGCTTCATGCCTGCCAGGTAGGCCAGCAATCCTTCATATTTTCACTTCAGTGAAGGTTAAGTAAATTGACGACAACAGTCCATTGGTCAAATGCCTGTTCACAACACACTGCTGAAAAATTTTATCTGCCAACTTGTTAGTCAGCACTTTGTTTTAAATCTCCATAAGAATATAAGAAGAGCTATGCTGGATCAGACCAAAGGCCCATCTAATCCAGTATTCTGTTCACCCAGTGGCCAACCTCTGGGAAGCCCACAAACAGGAAGACTGCAACAACAGCATCCTTCCTGTTCTCCCTAGCAACTGATTTAAAGAAGCATACTAGCATCATAGAGTTAAAAGGGATCTCCAGTCCAACTCCCTGCACAATGCAGGAAATTCACAAATATCTCCCCCTCCACATCCACAGTGACCCCTGTTCCCAGAAGATGACAAAAAACCCAAACTGGCCTGGAGAAAATTTGCTTCCTGACCCCAAAGTGGCGATCACCATTTCCCTGAGCATGTAAGAAAGGGCCACAAGAACTAAGCACTGATGTAACCCTTCCTGCCCTCCCTCTCATGATCTGCCTACGTTCACAGAAGCAGCATTGCTGTCAGATGGCCATCTAGCCTCTGCTTCAAAACCTCCAAAGAAGGAGAGCTCACCATCTCCTGAAGAAGCCTGTTCCACTGAGCAACTGCTCTGTCAGGGAGTTCTTCCTAATGTTTAGCCGAAAACTCTTATGATTTAATTTCAACCCGTTGGTTCTAGTCTGACCTTCTGGGGCAACAGAAAACAACTCTGGTGCTGAAGGCAGTAGATATCCATCATGATTTACTACTGATAGCCAAATCATCCATTAATTTGTCCACTCCTTTGTTAATACCTTCCAAGTTTGTGGTCATGACCACATCCTGTGGCAGTGAGTTCCACAAATTAACTATATGCTGTGTGAAGAAATACTTCCTTTTGTCTTTCCTGAATCTCTCACCCTTCAGCTTCAGTGGATGACCTGGGTTCTAGTATTATGGGAGAGAGGAAAATGTCTCCCTATCCACTGTCTCCATACCATAAGTAATTTATAAACC